AAAGTAAAAAACTGTAAATATCTAAATAAAAAAGAAGAAGAAAAATCCATTATAACTAGAAATTTTATTGTAAATATCTAATTTCTATCCTATTTGTAATAGGATTGTCCTACATCATGCCTATTATATTTTCTTCAAGAAACTACAAGCTGTTCAGAACCAATTCAATGGGGTAAATGAAAGAACATCGTTAGGGTGTATCAACTAATTGGTATGCATATAGCTGGAAAGCTTTCTTGTAAATGTAACAAATGAATATGTGATTCACCTTCAAAATTTCGTTTGCCGTAATTTGATGTATCAATTTTAAACATTGGTGGTTTTATTTTTCTGGCACCTTTTCAATCAAAGGTTATGTCTATTCAATGTTAAAAGATATTTGTGCCGAAGGTTGCATCATAAAATAGAGGCAAGTACAACCTGATAGGTCAATAACGGCTCGATATTCTGCTTCATAAAATACCACTTAAATCAGTATACGCATAAGGTATCATGCCGGTCCTGTGATTTTTGGGGCTTGAAGCGAACTACATAAATTAGGTCCTAATTTCCCCCATTGATCAGTGGTGAATTTTTTCATTCAATCAAATAGAGGTGGGTCTGATATGTCTTCATTTAAGGGGGTTCAAGTGAAAATATACTGCCCAGTGCATTTTTTCATGGTCAAGTGAGAAGTACCACGAGCTATACTTATATTGACGTTATCTATGATTAAATTAGTATGGTAAATAACACTTAGATTTGAATTTATTATGTAGCAGCGCTCACATCGTTTGACCTACTCTTTCACTTGAATTTTTAAATACGGCTCCTCAATTTCGTGTATTGATCACATTCACACCTAGGAAGATTCTTATGAAACTACAAAGAATGAGTAATACTATTCATCCCCACTGGGGTTACAAACACAATTTATGTGACGTTAATGTTACATTAAATGATAGGAGAAATTAAATAAGTCATTTAATTTCACATTTCATTTTAATCTATCATTTAGAGCCACCAAAATTGTGTTTGTAACCCTACTGAGGATGAATAGCATTACTCAAAAAGAATAATGTTATCATCGACTAGGGTCCTAGAGCACCATTTTAGGTGGCCACATTTGATAGTTTCAATTAAATAATCACATAACATTGTATTTAATTCAACTTATCATTTAATGTCATATAGTTGCCAGTTAAATTGGTGCTTGACACCAATGGTGTTTAATTGCATTACTCAGCTAAAAGGAAAAAAAATAATGTTGACGTTTGGTCTCTATCTATGTAGTGAAAATATGAGTGCTTTCATTGATGCCATAATGCAAAATCGAATAATAATTGTTCGACATCAAAGTTGCAATTCATAGAACCAACTTTTCTAGGCTGTTTGATTGGTGAAAGCTTTGCAAACTAGAAGCAATAAAAAGGGACTCATTATCTTCATCCATGGAACTCGTTTCTTTAAAATTCTGGTCACTCACTTCCAGCTCCGGAGTCGGCGGTGGCGGTGGTGGAGGCAGAGGGGGCAGCGGCGGTGAAGACAAGGGTATGGCCAAAAATGGATAAACAAAATTAGTTCGAGCTTTTCCAATGCCACTAAAAGAGATAGATGAAAAATCATAAGCCAATGCAGCTTCCTCAGCAGTGTCAAATGTGCCCAGCCAATGCCTTTCTTTGGTGTGAGGATTTCGAATTTCCGCCGCGTACCGCCCCCACAGCCGGCGGCGTACGCCAAGATATTTGGTGGAGTACCGAGAACTCCACCGCGCTGGTTTTCTCATCAGCTGCTGAGGATTGTTTTCCATATCGCTGCTTCACTATTAAGAATTCTTCAATATGAAACTTGTGCCATTGAAATATGATATGTTGGCGTTTTTATAGCACTGCATGAACACAATGGTCTTTTTCGAATAGTCTGGACAAAGTTTGATAAGTTATATTAAACATGATAATTAAAAGTATAATCTTATTCAATTTTATACACTGGCCTATCAAAACATATCGATTAAAGTCATACAATATTAGTCCCACAGCAAAACGTGGACTCAAATGTATATTTTTCGAGACAAGACTTAGCCTTTGTTTGAGTCCCATTTTCTAGAAAAATATATTTTATAATAGTGATTTTTTGAAGAATGTATGGTTAAAAGTAGGAAATAATTTTGAGTTTATGCTTAAAATTATTTTATTTGAAGAATGTGTTGCTAAAAATATTTTTCTGAAAAATGAGATTTGAAATAATGGGGCTCAAATCGGGCTTAATATGTTTAGTCTGTTGCAAGATTGGACATAACTGCATATAAATATCACCTAAAACTCTCTTGTTTTCTATTTATAAAATCTAATAGTGCCCCTCTCAGGGCATAGCTCAGTGGTGCAAAGGACAAGAGTGAGGTAGTCTCAACTGAGCTG